TGTACCCAAAATCGCTGTATATTTGGACAAACTTGCCAGGCAATAGATCACACTGTGTGTGTGTGTGTGTGTGTGTGTGTGTGTGTGTGTGTGTGTGTACATGAGTCTATATGTAAGGGTAGAGTCCAAGCAGAGCGCAGAGCTTAGCAGGAACAGCTGGAGCTCTAAGATTTCACTGGAATCTGCTAATGACTGCAAGATTTACAGCACACCGTGCACACGCATGCATGTGCCGTTTCCGAGAGCATAAAAGAAACAAAAAACGCACACTCTTTCCAGAATAAGCCCTGCAGGGATCACAGCAGTGTTTATGAGGGTGTGTATGTGTAAGTTTGGGTATGTTACCTGAGCAGGGGTCCGCTGCCGTTCTTGGTGGTCCCTCCTACGATCAGCTCCTCCTGCCAGTGCATGTACTTTCTGGATAGACCATGGCAGCCTCCACTCAGAGCCCTCGCCACATCGAATGGCTGGTGCAATAAAAGCAACAGGCGAGAAAAATACCTGTCAGCAGCTTGTCTCAAACCCAAGACTTTATGTTTTACCAAAGATATAAATGTTGCATGTGTACACATATATTCAGAGCCTAAAGCTTGATCCAATATGTGCACCTACCTTGGTTGAGTTCTTATTGGGCGCAGTGAGGGGGCAGTCGGGGTCAGCAGGGTTTAAACAGGGCCTATCCATGTAGCCGTGTCCAACATCTGCCTTTTCCAACATCTCCTCAAAACCATCCACTGGGAAATTAGCCTTTCGCAAATCCTCAAGGAACTCCTTTGGGTCAAAGTTGGTCCACTGAAGAGGGTCTTTACCTCTGCAAAAGGTAAAAGTAAACAAGAATACTGTTTTATCGTAACTACAACCATGTTTTAAGATGCTGTGTTTCTGTACCTTATTGAGCACTAGTACTTCTTGTTAGTTAGATAGTTAGTTATTATCATATTGGAGATGATTAATACAACTGTAAAAAGTAAGCTGGAATTGTCCTTTAAGGGCGAACACATTAGATACATCTACAAAATTAATGTTTATCTACAATAGTTACATCTTTCTGTGAAAAAAAAGGCAAATTCCTTGGCCAATTAGATCCGAAAAAATATTCGTTCTTATTTTGTTGCTATCATGTGTTGGATGTGTATTTTAGGACATCAGTGTTAGAGGCTGGAATGCATTTGTCAGGTGTTATCGCCTCTAGATTTACCTCAAAATAAATTAATATCTTTCTTGCTAGGTGACAGAAAACAATATAAGAGACACATTCCCATGATGCAATGGCACAGTACTGAATTCCTGCTCCAAACCAGTCCTTGTCTCTCTAAGCCTAACACATTCCAATCTCCCTTTCTTTGAATCTCTCTCTCTGTGTCATTCAGACCACATTGTACGTGCTTAACCAGGCTTGGGTTATTATTCCCAGCCTCCCAACCAGAACATAGTAAAAACCTTATTTACCATTTGGGACACACACACACTTTGATTATACAGATGACTCACACTGATATACTTTCACATGTCCACTACACACATGTATGCACTGGTGGAAATGGCACACACAATAAGTGCACACACACACACACACACACACACACACACACACACACACACACACACACACACACACACACACACACACACACACACACACACACACACACACACACACACACACACACACACACACACACCTCTGCTGAGTATTACTGTAGCAGCAGGCCATTAGCAACAGAAGGGGCAGACAATGGTGTGAGGCCCAGGGCTGGAGAGAAACTACTGCCAACGATACGCATGCCAGCCAACACTACAATAGAGCCTTCAGAGGGGAAGACACACACACACACAACACACATGTGCACACACACTCTTGGTCCTCTTTGGTGGATGGATTGATCCTGTTTCGGCAGCTTCTACTAAAGGGGTAAAAACAGGATCTAGAGATCCAGATCTCCTCCTTTCCTGAACATGTCTGTATAATATAACCTTATACAATAATTCCATATCCATAACTCATGACATCAGCGGTCAAAGACATCATTTAAATCAGTTTGCCTTACAGTAACAAGAGCTTATGTGTGCCAAATTAGGATTCTTAGAATCGATTATTTGGCCATATTACCAGAAATTTGACCTTGAAAGAAATCAGTCTGTTTTGATTGTGCTGACACATCATAAAATACAGATTTTGTTTGGTAAAAAGGACATGTTGGTACTTACGGTAGATAGACCATTCCAGACTGGAGCTTGGCTCCCTCCCAGAAACAGTCCAAAGGGGTGATGATGAGGCAGGGGTGTAGCTTTTCTATGATCTAATTGGACACACACATGGCCCACACACAGCAGGTTTCACACATATTAACAACAGGAAGTGTATACAGGAAAGACCAAAAGATGGTCATGTTTCAATATATTGCAGACAGTAATACTAAGTGAATCATTTAAACCTTACCTGGTCCAAATGACTTTCTGTGACTAGTTCTCCTGATTTGTAGCACAAGTTTTCTAATTTCCATTGTCTGAAAAGGAGAAAAGAAGAACATCATGAGCCCCCTTAGGTTAGACTGAGCAAAGAAGAAAAATAAAACTTATTTCATCATTATGAGGAATTGCTTGAAAAAAGCAGCTGAATCCAGGTACGCTGTGTATGTCCAAGATATTCTGTACAAGGACAAATATGGGCTGGAAAGGTGTCCGATTATTTGAAAGCAGTCCAATGCAATACAACAATGCCGGAAACTACAAACTGAGAGCTTCATGTATTTGTTGTGGGAATACTTTATTTGATTTCATTAAATCGCCCTTTGAGAAATACTTGTGTTCTAATAAAGTCAATTTCAATTGTCCATAAGTGGAATATGTGATGCTTTTATGATGAAGACATACAGACATCAGGCAAAGCTGGAACACAGGTAGACATGATTGAGAAGTGAGTTACCTGTTATAAAGGTAAACATGAACTCTGCTGGCTCGGAGAGCTGACTCCAGGTGCTGTAGGAGCGCGTCCACCGTTAAAACATTTGCTCCCTCCTCCCGCGGCGTCTGGATCATCAGCTGAGGGTTAAACATGGCCTCCTCGCCTATATTCTGTCGTGTGTACGTCAGTTCCCGGTTCACACGCCCACCAACTGGAAAAAGGAGAGAGAATGTGTTTACATATGCATATTCAAACCCTTGCACGGTTTGCAGGTGGTTTGTATTAGATTAGTATACAATAGAATACAATGTTTATTACATTTAAGGCTCAACATTTACAGCTATTTATGGAATGTTACCCAAAAAAAAAATATAGATCTTGTAAAAAGAGATATAAAATGATTTTAATGGTGGCCTCAAGTCCCCATTAGTCTAAAGCTTAGAATACCACTGTTTGCAGTTAACTAATTTATCTTCCATATTTCCAATGGGGACCTTGATTTAAAGACTAGTCTAGTGTCTAGGCTTCATCATTACATCCAGATCATTACTAAAAAATATCTAATTTTTAACCTTAAAACTCTTTGTTTTGAATGTATACTTTTCTTACAAAACTGAAAATAATGAGCACTAATCAAATAGTTTTTGCAATAATAATAATTTGATAAAAAATGTATGTAAACAACAGTAAGTGAGACATCCTGAACACAGCTATACCATTCTCTCTCAAACACACACATACACCAAAAAAGCATCATGTGCTTAAACATCTGTGACTGCAGAAGAGATCTTGTGCAAATCAAACCCAAAGACATCTCAACCTTATCGCACTTGTATCTTAAACAAAATCACTTTGCTTACAGTGAGCTTGTATCACTACAAAGCTAAACATCCCAATTCCTTTGAATCCAGAAGAGCAATATCACTAACAAATTTAAAAACAAGCCAGTAGCGCCAGAGCATGTTGACTACATATGTGTGTGACAGTATGTATGGGTTTGATGGAGAGAGAGAGAGAAAGAGGCTCTTTTCCAGGCTTAGCTCCCAGTATCGTGGTGGGACTAAGCCCTGTGCGTGCGCTCTGAGCTCTAAGCTAGCCCAAGCTACAAAAGCAGCCTTTCAGGGCCTTTAGTTGCCCTGCTCCACCCCAGTACAGTACAGCCAAGGCACATTTAGCAAGGTCTCTCTTCCAAACACACAAAAACTTAAGCAGGCAATTGCAGTCATGTAAGCATGGGAAGTCAATTTTTCAGCCAAGAGTTAACTTTTTATTAAAATGAAATGTTTTTGTGCATGTTTGGGACTTGATGAAGCCTTATACTTGTGTGTGTGCATCCTTCAGTTCAGTGTTTCAATGTCTGATTTACAGGCAGAGGATTTAAGCCCTTCCATCATCAGTGACTGAAGGCTCAGTGATTTATAGTCATCTTCTTTTACTTGCTCTCACACAAACACTTGCACTGACATACACACACTCAAAATGCCTAGTGAGACGGCCGACTGTGTGAAAACTCTGCAACATTTTATTATGGCTTAATCCAATTTAACAATTCCGCTCAATTCGTGCAACAGCACGCATAGATTGAATATTTTCAACCCATTGTAATGGCATTAATGTTGAACATAAGCATGCCTGTTCTGCTGAGCTGGACCACCCAGTCAGACCAATGGAACAGGGAGGGAGGGGGCCATGTCTTGGGGCATTAGGAAAACACACTTGATTTATTTTTTTCTGGACCCAAACAGCATTCCCATCTGATCCTGTCTGAAAGCATGTTTATAATACTCATCACTAATAGCAGGCCTAGACTAACCAGAGCGACATGCTTTCTGCTGCTAGGCCAGCTACACGGCTACGTTACAGCAGCGCTCTCTTCAAAAGAGCACGCATGGAACTGATTTAGACCTTACGCACACTGACAGTGCACTAACAAGTCGACTTGTCTGGTACACTCAACGCTCAAATGCAAAAGCTGGCCCGAGGCTTGGTTAAGGTGCACCGCCAAAGGGGAAGCATGGGAACACGGGTATGGTGAAAGAGGTGCTTACTTTCTCAGTTTCTATATGTGAAAGGAGATAAGGGATAAGGGAAAAAGATGGGAGGGACGAGTTTAGAAAGTACTCATTTTTTGTTATGAACACATTCCAAGTTGTGGACTGCCACCCAAAGACCTTAAATTTACAGCAAGCAGCGAGGAACAGGACAAGTCAAAGGAATGTACTCTCTCTACAGGAAACAGCACATCACGGCCTCTGGCTTAGAGAATTCCACACTTCACGAGGTTACAGCGTTTTGGGGTCAACACTCACACAGCCTTGGGTGAAATTAACACCCCAGCTGGACCAAGAAAATGTGTGAGTGTGTGAGTGTGCACTGACATACTGGCGAGCGTGTGAGTGTGTGTGTACACACACAGCTGTGTTTCTTCAATGACACATATTCCCATATTCCTTCTCCTAAGAAAACTGGTTGACCTCGGCATGTGTTGATATCTTGAAGGTGTCCCGCTTCAGGCTCAGCGGCTGTGACCTAAAACAAAGTGTCACGACTTTCAAATGCATCCCATGCTAGGTTCATGTCTCACTCACTTCTTTCTATTGCTTGTTCTTTCCCTTCTGCATCACTCACTTTGCCGTTTATCCATTCTTTTACAACGATTGGCAAATAAATTAACAGCTGCTGGAATGGCAAGTCTCTTAAGTGGTTGAACAGAAAAGCAATCAGCCACCATTTAAAATAACTGTTACTAAGAGTGACTCTGTAAGTCACTCTTTAACCATACATTTAAAATCTTTACTGGTCCCAGTTTTTCAGTTGATGGTTGTCTTGGTCTTCTGTGATCATTTAATAAGTGTCCAAGATTTAGACAAAAAGCAATTTAATCATCTCAAATCCAAAGTTAAAAACTGTTGTTATTCATATGCCCTAAACTTATGATTTTTGACTCCTCATGTCATCACAAGCCAGCTCTTAATTTACCAACAGGTTCAAATCTTTAATTTCCAGCTGTGTGTGAGTTATATCTGCAGATGCATGATGTCTAGTCAATGTTCAAAAACACTAAACTAAGCCGTTATAAAAAATATATACCTCCACAGAATCAAAGTGAGAAGAGAACAGAAGAAGAAGCAGGCCCATGTGTGTCACTGTATTGGAGCGCTCAGTGCGGGTATTCAGTGTGTTGCATAACATTAACCCTTGGCCCCCCCATTATCAAAGTAGGGGAACGGGGGGTGGTAGGGACGAAGGGAGAGAAAGTAGGTTTCTAAGGAACTGACATCACCCCCCTTCCTCCTTTCAGTCCCGAACTCCCCCTCATCTTTATACTCTCATTTTCGCTCTCTTTGCTCTATTCACAACTACTCTGTGATTGGCCAGATCGTGATGGCAATCAGCCCGGCCCCTCAGTCAAAGCCAGCCCACCCCCTTTTCCCCTTGCCAACTTTCTCTCTTTTCCATGCAACACACAACAGCATAGACCCACCCCCTGCACATCTCCTACTCCTGAAAACGGAAACATCCCTCGCTTTAAGGGAAAACACACGACAAGGGCAAACAACTCCTACACCTCTTGAGTATGATGCTGGTATGAAAATACACTCTCACGCTGTGCTGCTCATGCACTACATACAAATATTTCCCTTTCCGATAACAGAATCAAGTAATCAGCAGATCCAGAATCTGTTTGATCGACTGTGACTTTCACTACAACTAACAGAGGTCTGATCAAATATCTGACCAAAAAGATGCTAAATGTCTCTTTTATCTTTGTGGGATATGTACCGTACTGTATGTATGTGCATATGGCTGCAGACATCTGTGTGTCTGTGTGTGTGTGTGTGTGTGTGTGTGTGTGTGTGTGTGTGCAGAGAAAGGATTAGCTGGATTAGGCCCCCTCTCAGTAGGGACCCCCTGTGGTGAGGAGGAAGCCCCCCGAAACCAGGTCATCTCTTTGCCACCAAGTTTACAGCGACCTCCCATACCCTGAGCCCCCTATACCGCTAAGGATATGCAGAGTTCTATACAGCTCTCTGCAGAACGTTGTTTTTAAACTAAAAACAACGTGCTGTTAATAAATGCATGTTTTCGTGTGACCCTTCAGAAAAGGTAATTGTTGGGAAGGATATGTCAACATCTCCATATACACAAGACAAACTCAAAACAAAGTGTTCTCATATGTAAAATCAGACACAGCTGCTTATGCTAACACTGAATTGTAAGTTACCAAAGAGGTTGAGCAATAAAAGACATATGTACAAAAAGGCATTCCAAAGATGCACTTGTGTTGTTTCAAATCTGGGTCTCATCACTCTTTTAAAAACATCTTATTTGACCTTGATTGTTCCCTGCTATGGATCCATCTGTTCAGGTAGGGCTTCTTTCCTTATTCCCCCCCCCCCCCCCCCAACGTCAACACCTCCTCTCTTCTCCTCCTTCCTGTTTGTCTCCTCCTCCTCAGCTGCTAGTGCCAATCAACTGACAGAGTGTTGATTACACCTGTTGCCTTCCTCCAACGTTGGCTTTCTTCTACCTTTACCATCTGCTTCCCCTTGGGTTTTTCTGCTGCGTTATATTAATGCTGAGACTGAATAGTATACAACACTTTTTAAAGACACATTTAGTTGGTTTACATAATTTTGTATAACTTGTCTTTTCCATCGAGCCACTTTCTCCTATAGAGTGGCAAAGTCCCTCCCCTTCCGGTGGACCTCCATGGGACCTTATATCGGAAAAATAATGTATTGAAGTCAATGGGGAGAGAAAGATTATCTTTCGATCCCGTTTGAATTGTGCCACGAATTACACATATGATGTTTGTCAATTTAAAAGATAATTTTGCAAGTCAAAAAAATTAAAATGTGTCGTAAAACTGTGAAGTTACACATTTCTTTGTGTGAAGCGCTCAATGAACTACAACTCTGGTCTTGCACACGTCACCAACACCAAGATGGCCGTCACGTTGGTACATTTCACCTCTTTCTTTCAGAATGAGGCGAAAAGTATTAAAAGAGGTGAAAATGACTACAAGTCTGGGCATGTTGAGAGCTGTACATACGAAAAAGGGGAGTTAGTCGGTTCCGTAAGAGCCAGCATGCGGGACCGGCTTTACAAGGTTTCGGTGAGTAACACGAGTGTAATGTGTAACGTTAATGTCAGCTAACTAACATTAGCTAACAAGGTACACTCTCGTGTTTTGTTTTAGTTGAGAAC